CACCCGCCCCGCTCCCCCCCCCCCCCCCCCCGTGGGATGAGGGAGGCAATCAGGGAGAAAAAAGTAAAACTTGTAGGTTGAGATAAGAACATTTTAATAGAATAGAAAGGCAGAAAATAATAATGATAGTAATAACAATAATAAAATCACAATAATAATAATAATAAAAGGATTGGAATATACAAAACAAGTGATGCATGATGCAATTGCTCACTACCTGCCGACCAACGCCCAGTTAGTTCCTGAGCAGCGATCCGCCCCCCCCGGCCAACTCCCCCCAGTTTATATACTGGGCATGATGTCACAGGGTATGGAATATCCCTTTGGCCAGTTTGGGTCAGCTGTCCTGGCTGTGTCCCCTCCCAAATTCTTGTGCCCTTCCAGCCTTCTTGCTGGCTGGGTGTCAGAAGCTGAGAAATCCTTGACTTGGTATTAACACTACTTGGCAACAACTGGAACCATCAGTGTGTTATCAACATTCTTCTCATACTGAACCCAAAACATAACACTATACCAGCTACTAGAAAGAAAATGAACTCTGTGCCAATTGAAACCAGGACAGTGGTTTAAATGAAGATGTAGAGGTCTAGAAAACAGAAAGGAAACATGAAAGATAGATGTCCTTAGAGGCAGAGCCTTTACATGCACTTGCCCCATATAATGATGGTGACAGTCTGGGCTGTTGGTGGGAGGTGGGATGGACAGATGTTGCCATCACAGCTCAGAGCTGGCTTGTCATGCACTGTCACACCTCTGCATGCTTCAAGCAGAACAAGATGAGCCTGTGCCCTAGTGAGACCTGGCAGTGTAAGTATCAGGCAAAAAATTAATTAATTTTTGTAGTGATCTGCAATCTCTGGGTGGAAGATGCTACAGAAATATTATTAAGCAGTCATCTGCTAAAGAGTGTGCTTGTTCTGAGTAAGGGACAGCTGTGTTTATAGTGACAATGGATATTTTCTGCTGTTACCTTGAGATATAGAATCCAGCAGAATTACTGATGCGCCAGGGAGAATGTAGTTGAAACTACAAATTTTAAAGAGATAGTCAAACCTGCACCTGGTGCTTTAGGCGCACAGAAAGAAAAATTAAGAGCCTTTGAATGTATGTGATTTTAACACTGTTAGAGAGTCCTCAAGAGAAGAAACAACTTGAAGATATCTATGGAATGAAAGGAAAACCTTAAAAGCCTTCTTATTTGGGGGTCTTATTCCTCCAAAGATTCATACTCTGCAGATACCCTTGATTTACAACAAGCTTTCAAACCACTGATAAATTCACTGGAAGTTGGCAGTTGAGAAATATTGACTTTTTATAATCTTTCAGCAGGGCTTTTTTCATGGCCTGTCTCAGGTTCTTCAATCACTACAGTAAGAATTTACTTATTAGAGATTTGCTAATATTCAGAAAGGAAAAAAAAAATTGAAACTTTAATGGTAGCAAATTTTTTTGATAAATTTTCCATCATTTCTTTTTCCTTCTAAAGGAGAAAAGGAAAACAGTTTCAAAATTAATTCAGTTTAAGCAAATAACACCAAAGTCAGAGCAAGGAATTGCTTATACATATGGTATTCAGAATGGATAAATCTATATGACATCCTGTTTCAAAGCTAGATGTCTTACAGTCTGCTCTCATTATTTTAAGCATAACTCTTTCACAGCATTACCTTTGAAGAGCAGAGGTAAACCCGTGGCATTTCATAAAGTTTGACAGAAGAGCCTGTGACTGCTCTCATTTGACGTGTGGTTATTCCCTGAATATGTGTGAAGCTGACATTGCCATCAGAGGGTTTGTGTTTATCCTGCCATGATTTTGCTATCTAAATTGACTGGCTAGAAAGTTCAAAGGAAGTTTAACCTAGATGACCATTGAAAATGAATCAGGCTGTTCCTTTGCCTTTTGCCCTCATCTCATTGCTTAAGCTCCTGTAGTTTGAATTTGAGCAGTATTTCTCTTGTCATTACACCAGGTAGGAGGAAATAAATCACAGTTATGCTCTGCGGGAACTTGCAATGCCAATAGAGGTTAAGAATCCACATGATCTGGGGGTTATACAGAAAGCATCTTTCTGATCTATGCATGAATCTACAGACCGTGCTTTAATATGGCTCGTCCTTTCTGTTTTCACCCTGTAAGTCTGCAGTGATTCAACTGAAATAAGTGGAAATATCTGGAGTAAAACTGGTGTGAGCAGGACCAGTCAAATCCAGTGTTGTTTATAGGACTTATTATTTCCGGAAAGTCATATTGGCAAGAAGTCTTGAAGGATTTAGGAGTCTGTCTCATCCATTTCAGTAGGATATAAGCTTTAGAGTGTTTTTACACATGCAGGTCTGACATGAAAGGGGCTCACTTCACCCCAGAAACATCACACTTATGGTCAGGTCTCTCCCTGCCCTGCCATAGTCTCTTACCCGAATGCTAAGCGATGAGAGGAGACCCAAGAGAGGTAAGAAAGGTTTGTGAGAGAGATGTAATCTTGGTAAAAATCCACTGAGCGCTTTACTAAACCTTGCATTTCTCATCTTGACCAGCTGTTGTTGGCACTAAGACCCTACCCAGGGATCTTTGCAAGAAGTTGTGAAATTCTGCCTTATTTTAATGAGTTTCCACTGTTCTCACAGTGTGGTGGTGACAGTCACATATGACTTGTGCCTTGGGAAGCTCTGGTTATTGTCGTTACATGATGCATGCTCTGATTTGTCTTGATTTTCTGCACCAGGATGAGGAGGAGATGGAGGAAGCCACCAATCAAAAGCTCGCCCTGCAAAAGGCCAAGGAAGTGGCAGAAGTCAGCCCCATGTCTGCAGCTAACATTTCCATAGCCGCGTAAGCACTATTTTATTATTTGGAAACTTTATCATTTGGTTTCTGGTTTTCAGTGTTGATATATGTCTGTTCAAGTGGAGCATCCCACAGTGCTCTGTGAGCCCTTTTATGCCATCTCTGTTACTGACAGGGCTTTAGGTAGACTGAATGCTTCAGTGCTGATCACTTAACCATGAATTTAATTAAGTATTTCTTTTAGTTTGTTTTTCTTTGTAATGCCTCATCTTTTGCCTTGTTATAAATAACTGTATTTTAGAAGGAATTTTTTAATCTGTACTAGGATAGATTTCACCAGGTGAAGTGTTAACGTTTCACTTCGGATTTTTAATTACAAGAGGTGTGTGTGCACATAACTTATTAACTGTTCTTTAATGATCTTTGCTTCAAGAATTTAAGTGTAAAGGCATCCTCCTAAATATCAAACAGAAACATATGCTTGAATGCTCTTTCCTTGCTGTTTGAAAGAGTTCTGGTTTGAATAACATAATGTATGTGAACAGTTAGTGCTTTGTAGCTAGAAACATCAATTTGCATTTTCAGATGCAGGCTTTTCTGCATGAATGTGGACATATGCACAGATTCTGTGATACCAGAATCCTTAGAAAACGTTGCCTTGGGGCCCACCTTTTCATATATACTGATCTAAATGGAAGTGAAAAAACTATACGTAGGTGGAAATACTTGTCCAGATGTTGCTGAGGTCAGTGCAGAGTTCTGCCTGCCTGGGATTATGGGCTTGTGTTTGAGACGTGCCTACCTTGCATGGATTTACTGAAAAGTATGTTCTTCTTAAAGGTTCATTTACCTCTTCTGGAATTTTAGCATCAGGGCTACCAGCATGAAAAAAATTGGTCATGCATTTTGCTCAGAGCTGCTGATGTTTTCCAGACCCCTTTTGCAGGGGAGACCTCCAAAGGCTGGAGAAGTTCAAGCATAGAAAAAGAAATTTCCTGTTAAATTTTATTGCAAAGTATCTGAAATGCAGCAGGATTCCTGTTTGTTCCTTCAGTGTAAATCTCTCGAGGCCCCTGTTACTGGGAGTTTAATCCACTTCATCAAAGTCAATAGGCCAAACAGAGCCAGTTCATTATATGTGAAGGAAAAGAATATTATTTAATTTGACTATTTTATTCTTCTTACCATTTTATTTTGCTATTACTGCTTTAATCAGCTTCTATTTATGCTGTGTCTGTTTGTTGGTTTTAAATTTAATCTTTTTCTTACAATGATTTCCTGTCCAGTCTTGAAAAGAAGTCAAATGAGGATATTTGCTCTTGTTCTTTGATGAATTTCCTGGTACTGTTATTTTAAAATGCAAGATGCTGCTGCTTATTTTCTTCTTCTTTAATCAAAAGTATAGTGCATGTGAAGATTTCTTAGAAATCAGAAAAAACCCCAAACCCACTTTAATGGAGCTAAGATTTCACACCACATTGTTAGTTGCTTAAAATAACCTTATTCCATGATTTTTCACCAGGCTTTCACCTGGTTTTGAATATCACAGGGCCAGTTTTGTGACCACAATTGAAAGTGAGTACAAAATTGTGGATTTCTGCTTATTTTGCCTCAAATTGTATCTGCCCAGATCCCTACCTGCCACATTTGTACAGGCAGGTAATTAGGCTTACAAATGAGCACATTTGAAAGTGCGGTTGATTGCTTCTACATCTACTAACCACGGCAACATCGTGCATGCTGTGTGGGAGCCATCATCTAGCAACTGTCGCGTGACTTCTTGTTATCTCTGCTTTAGTGCCAGTGAGATGCTTACAAAGCCACTCACAAAACTCATAGGGCTTTAGTTTGGGAAAAAAAAAATGCATTAAAGTCAATAGGTTGATGACCAAATGGATAATGACGTAGAGGAGAAGGCAAGGGAGAAATTAGGTGTTTTGTGAGACAGAAATAGGTGTATGGATGGATTGCTGGCTCATGATCCAAAAGATATTTAATGAATGCATGCCAAAGCAGTTTGTTTAATACATAAATACATCCATCGTGAACTCCAAAGGGGCTTAGCAGCTACAGCTTTCAGGTTTGCAGCACCTATCCCTTAGATATCTCTATCCAATACAGTGGGGCTCATGATAGGGACCCATGGTTGACAGCAAAGTGTACCCCATTGCTTCATTTCTTATGCTCTTCAGGTACTCAGAGGTCCTGAAGATGGAGCAGATGACATGTTGGTGGCAAGACTTGTCAGATCAAGCCTCTGATGCAATTCAGAGCTGAACATGATGAGAATGAAAAAGCGCTGGGCATGCTTGGAAATGGGATTTTTGGTGTATGGAAATATCACCGCAAAAAACAAACACCTGTAGAGCTTGGGTACCCCTAAGTGGGTAGTGAGCAGGGGCTGGGAAAAACTGGGACTGAACTACCAAAGGCCTGCTGCAGAGGTGGGTCTACCCTATCAGTTTATAATTTTATTTTCTCCTAAAGAATAATTTTTTAGTTTTATAATTCGATTTTATTTTCATAACATATGAAAATGAATTTCTATAACAACAGGTAGCTATAGCATGGATCAATGTTCTGAAAACATCAACATTTTCTCTACCTGCATCAATCAACACAGGTCAGGTGTTAGTAGAGGGCTCTATGGCTTGCATTTCCTTAGCCTTGATGTTTATGCTCCCAGTGTGCTTGTCCACCTCCCATGGAGGTGATAAATCCATCCTGGGGATGAGTCTGATGGAAAGTCATATTGGTTGTTCTGTTGTTTCACCAGCGAGTTGCTGTGCTTGCTCTTTTACTTCTTTCCCTTGTCAGTCCTACATCAAGGACTGAGAGCGTTTATCTTCCCCTAAGCTTCCTTCCAGGCCATTCCCTACTCCGTAGTGTTGCATCTGCTCCACCACCTCTGGCATTTTTCCTGTGCAAACACAGTGCGCACTCGCGGTTTGTCTGCTCCTTTGCCTGTAGTTTATCTGCACCGGTTCTTCTGCTCTCCTCTGCCATTCAAGCCTCTCTTCATAACTGAGCTCCAAGAAATGTTCAATTCATTGCACCAGTTGCAAAATGTCATTTCCTCGGCATAAGAAACTGGTTGCTTATTTAGCATGTCAGCCTGCTTGGAGGGTCCAAAGAAGTACCTTCACCTTTACACATGCAGTAGGCTGCTGTGTGAGCCACGAATTGTGGTTAATAGATGGTGAAGCACTACGGTGTCATGGGGATCTGTTTTAATAATATACGCATTATATTACAGTGGCGCTGAGATACCGTCTCTCTTGCAACTTACTCAAAGTGCTTTATTCTAATATTCTACCCGCACTTGGTTTGTAGCTCCTGCTTCATCGATCTCCCAGGATTTCTGTGGTTTGTCTTCTGCTCCACCAAAGGGACTTAACGTGAACAGATTTGTCTGACTGTAGTTTGTTTTTTCACCTGGTGAACTCTATCGTGAATGGGCCTTTTTGTTTTGTGTTTTTTTCAGGATTAAAAACTAGGATGGTACCTTGTTTTTGTCATTGTTGCAATGTTTGGTTTAAAACAGAATATCTGTTTAACATGTGTTATTGTGTTTTAATTTGAGCCCATTGTTTCATTCTTATTTTTGTGATTTTTTTTTTTTTGTTGTTGTTTTGTTTTCTGTTTAGCATTTTCCTTGCTTTGTTGTTTCTGGAGGTGAGTTTCTGGGTTTATTCAGTTTGCCCAGCATTGTCTTTAAGATCCTCTGTTTAGTACAACATTTAAACCACTCAGCCTCTTGAACAGAGCGACTGTACAGACCGATGGGTCTTTAGAGCAAACCATTGGTGCAGTTTCCTTGGTGGCCAGAATGGAGGAGGAGGAAAAGGGAGCAATTACACAGGCAGTGGATGTGCAAAGCACTTTGTGATGCCACTGTAAAGATGCCAGTGGAAGGGAGAACCATCAGGCTCATTCCTGTGGGTCACATGAAGACCCCAATGCAACCATGGTTTTATTTTCTGTATTTGCCTAACCTGAAGCCTGAACAACCTGCATTTGTGTTCCTCCTCCACCTTTTCTATTCCAGCCAGAGGTGCACCAATGGCATGTACAAAAGGGGCTGTGATTAAGCACACCCAGCCCGGCGTGGGCCAGCAGACCAGCCGGAGAGGACACGCTGTGGCTCACCTGGCACCCAGAGCCCATGTATTCTCCAATGGCCTCTCTTCACCTTTTCTTGGGAAAAGTCTTAAAATAGCAATCACAACAGCAAGCAAATGCTAAATTTTTAGGAACCTGCTAGGTAGTTATGCTGAAGTCATGCTGAGTGAAACTTTTTGCATTTTGTTACTTACAGGTTTTTTTTAATTCTGTGTGGTAATGGGTTACAATTTTAGCCAGATCCAAGGAAATTATTTAAGCACAGATATAGGGTATGAGTTCTGGATTGGAGGAGAACTTCCCAGATGCAGTGGATGAAACTTTGCTGACAGTGGCAGAGACACTCATGCAGTGTGGGTACCAGACCAAAACATGGGCTATAGAATTGCCCACTACTGTTTTTCAAAGTTATACATGCTTCCCAGGACAGCCTGCCAACCTCTAAAGACCTCTTCCTCTCTCCAGGCTCTGACTGGTTTCTGCTGGTCCCTCACATGGTTGTTCAAAGCAGTTTACATTTTAATTGCACACCCACAGGTGGATACTGCCTGTTAATGTGAGCAAGTTGACTACTCATTAGAAAAGTGCCAAGAGCAAATACAGGTGGCACATCATTTCACAGTGACTTCTCAGAGTTGTCTGTCCCTTTTGTACAGGTCTGGGGATGAAGGGTGGGATGTTGCTCTGTTTCTCCAGGACATTTTCCATCTCATAGGTTCCCTGTTTTCCTTTTGTCTTGGGAATACTGTGGTCTGTTTCCAAATTCCTGTTGGGCTGTCGGTACCCAACAGGACCCAGCAAGAAGTGTGCCTGAACACCCAGCTCATAAAATGTCCTGTGCTGGGTGATGTGTAGACTAGGAGAGGTGTTCTTTTTCTCTTGCTGGCTTGTGATTTCCTCCCTTTCTTTTCTCCCCTGAAGTG